GAACATTAGTATTCTTAATTCAGCTACATTTAATATTTTAAGGCCAAAATTTGAAGGTTTAGTGACAATGAGGAGTATCAATGCTTTTCTGCAAGGTTCTTTTGAAATTATATAAATATTTCACAATGTGTTAAAGTAATCTTAAATAACAATCCTTCTCATTTTTAAAATAATAAGATTGCCTATAGGGTGCCTGGATGGCTCAGTCAATTAAGCATCCACTCTTGATTTCGACTCAGGTCTTGATCTCACAGTTCATGCGATCAAGCCCCATGTGGGGCTCTGTGCTGACAGCGAGGAGCCTGCTTGGGATTTTCTCTCTCCTCTCTCATTCTCTGCCCCTCCCCTGATTGCATGCACTCTGTAAGTAAATAAATATTTTAAAAATATATAATACTGCCCAGAAGAGTCTGACCAGTTGTATAGCTTATGTCAATTTTGAAAAGGTCTTCAACAGACTACTGTTCTCAACTTGTAAAGTATTATTTTCACAAAGTAGATACTGCCTCACCAATGTAATAGAAATGATTCTTAATCCCTTCCCCTCAAAAAAGCCATTAAAATTTATTTACTTAATATTAACTTACTATTAAAAGAAGTTGGCTATCACTTGGGGCTTGGAAGACTATTTTATACTGAGATTTTTCTTGAAATTAAAGTCAACAGCATTTTAAGTCTATAGTATTAGGATAAGCTAAGAAAACTAGAATGTAGTTATTTCTTTAGGAAACAAGTGATCATCATAGCAAAGAATTCTGGTTTTCCTCAATCTAACTCTACTATACCCTTTCTAAAAAGTGCATAGGATTTAGGCATTTAGTTCATAGAAGTACACTCATAAACTAGAGTAGTAATTTTGCTTTGTGTTCCAATTACACTTTAAAAAAAATTTTTTTTTAAAGTTTATTTTTGACAGAGAGAGCATGAGAGTGGGGAGGGGCAGAGATAGAGGGAGACACAGAATCCGAAGCACGCTCCAGGCTCCGAGCTATCAACACAGAGCCCGACGCGGGGCTCGAACTCACGAACCGTGAGATCACGACCTGAGCCAAAGTTGGGCACTTAACCAACTGAGCCACCCAGGCGCCCCCCAATTACACTTTTTTAAAAATTTTCTTTTTTGAGAGAGAAAATCTTAAGGCTCCACACTCAGGAAAGAGCCCAATGCAGGGCTTGATCCCACGACCCTGGGATCATGACCTGAGCCGAAATCAAGATTGGATGTTCAACCAACCGAGCCACCCAGGTACCCCAAGGTATCCTCGATTTTAACTTGTAATCTATTTACTATAAACATGTAGGTTGGATACGGTGTTTTAAATTAAATGAACCATATACTTAAAATCACCTTTTATAAAACAGTAACCATCTATCTACTCACAAGTTGGTACTATTTCTTTCTTAAGTTCACAGTTGCAGTATATTCCTAGAATGTAAGACTCATATATCCCTTTACTCTAAACAGAATAAAAACATAATTTTGGAGGGAAAATACTACTGATGCGGTATAATAGTCTGTTTCCTATTTCAATCTTTTTTCCACAGGATTCCTTTAAGTAAAAAAAAAAAAAAAATGGTACATCATTATTGTATTAACTTGAGATAAGTTGAATCAACCTGGAATATCTAACACTTCTGTCAGAGAATACATTTCTAAAAAGGCTTATTGATTCAATTATCTTTATATTCAATTTGCTTAACTTTATAGGTATACAAGACATACATTTTCCAGAGGGCCTAAACTGACCTCATAAACCAATGCCAGAGTTCACGATATGATCATAAATACCCCCATTCATCAAGGGAGTGATTTAGATGATAAGGTGTATAATCCTCATGTAATACTTGAAAGTGTCTTCTAGTCATCTCTAGATAAGTTATGAGTCCAAAATCCCTATCTCACTGAACCACTGGTCCTTAAATTCTTGGGAGTCATTGGCTTGTTTGAAAATCTACAGGGGATAGACCTAAAGCTTTGGTTCTACGATGCCAAATTAACATCTCTGCACCAGACCGTACTGCTTAAGTTACTAAGTATCATGTTGAGGGTAGAGTTTACATATATATTCAAAGCCACTAAACCTGGGGCTTGAACTCACCACCCCAAGATCAAGAGTCACATTCTCTACCAACTGACCCAGCCAAGCGCCCCTAAGTAGCATATATTTATCTACATACAAATACTCCAAGTATTCTGTTTGGAAAATACTTAATTTTTAATTCTAAGAAATTACAATTTTAATATAGTTTAGAGGAAGTGTAAAAGTATTTCTAAATACTTCCTTTACATTTTTACTAATTTTGCCTTTTGCAAAAAAGGGATGAGAATAAAGGCAGACATCCTTATTTGTAATATAATAGTATGTCTTAGAATAGTTGTATCTCAAGTAAACATTACAAATAATAAAGTCTTGAATTTATTTTCATTTAAAAGTAAGCTAGCCCAGTGACAAAGTTTACCCTAGGGTCCAAATAAAAAAATCTGCCATATTCCACTGTTTGCAGCTACAAAATATCAGCTCCTATATGGAAATTATTATTCATGATGAGAAAGAAAACAAGCAGTTGTAGTGGCCAGTTTTATATTCTTTGACATTAACTTATCCTCCGATCCTGAACAAATGTAGATAGTGCCCCTATGCTAAACTTGAGAAGTACCAGAGTAAATATATTATCGTTAAAGAAAATGATCACAGATGTGTAAAACATTTGCTTTATTAACAATCTCACCCATAAGTATCCTCCCTTAAATGGTTCAAGAAACAATGCAATAACCAAAGTGAATCCTGAATAGAGATATACCCAGAAGACAATTTCTCAAGGAACTAGCACAAGTGTCGATTTCCACTAAGACACAGAACCCATTTTCACTTATAATCATTTACTTTCCTAATTCTATTTTCTCCTTTCCCTCTAAACATTATCTTAGTTTAGCATATTATCTGTCAAAGACTTCTTCCAAAAAGCATAACAGGGAGAGGCAGTGTGGAGTCCAGCCACCGACGACTCCCAAAATCTAATAGCTGTGTGACCTAATGCAATCACTGAACCTCTCTGCATCTCTCTTTCCTTATCTGCAGTGGTATTTATCTCATACAGCTGTTGTGATTATGAGTGAATCATATAAAACTTATAAAGCAGTGTCAAGTCAATGCTCAAAAAAGTCTGAACTATTATTCCAGTTTTTCCATCAAATAGGATCCTCCTAAGAAGCCTAAAGATTACAATGGAAAACCAAATCAGAGGTAAATCAAAGGATAAGCATGTTCAGAAACACTGCCATATGAAAAAAATAAAAACAAGAAAAAAGAAATTGCTGTATTAACTTTTTACTAAGATATAATTAAATGAAAAGTAAAGACACTATAATCGATTCTTACTTAGCATTTCAAATGATTGCGTATGTGTGTGGATAAACCCAAACATTTATTCAGAAAATATAAAACATTACTATTGATATTTGTCTGTTCTTTCTTTGGACTATCCTTTAGATTTTCAACAGTGCCATGTAATTTTATAACTAAATTTTATTACAGCTGAACACTTCAAAGAGTTGCAGTTTTGAAACAAATTCTACTATGATTAGAGAAAATGTATCCAGAAAGTACTGTACAGTATACATGAATTTATGGTACTTGTCCAAATATCACCAGCATATTATTTTGTAAAGTTGTTTCTTACATAGGGTCTAAAACGCAAAGAAAAATGGAATTTGTATTAAAAAAAAAAATAGAAGCAACACTGGCTTCTATACGCCAAAAATAGAAGACAGATTTTTCTTATGCACTCTAGATACAAATATTAACTGTATGGACTGAGAACTTTTAATTTTCAATATAATTCAACAAAGTACACAAGTAGAACTCTATAAATATATTCCCTATAATAATCATATGCAAAACCATTTTATCACAAATACTACCAAAACCCTCTGAAAAACATAAACTACAAACACATTTTTAAAGAAATTCTCAGTTTTAACAACTACAAAAGCAATAATAAAGTTATTTGGTTTATAAAAATGAAGGGCAGTGTAAAGTAAATCTGAATACCACAAAGCTTATAGAGGATGCAGTCTTGAATTCCTTACTACAAGTTACTAAACACTTTCAAAAATAATAGGACTTATTCTACACAATTTAAAGTCTTGAGCTAGAGCTCTAAGAAGAAATTCAGTAGATGAAAAGTAGGTATGTAGAAATAATGTTATAAAATATGATTTTTATACAAAATGTACCACTACTCTTCAAATGTATAAGGCTTAATATGAGTATTTTTGGATTATGAGTGCTGTATACAAGTTTTAGAGTAGTCTCCAACCATTCAAAATTCAGTATTTTTTATATGTTTTGATATTTCTGAAGTGAATGAACACAGTACAGGATGTAATTTAATGTCAACTTTATACTGTTCCACATGGTAAAAATAAAAGCTTTTTTGAGCTCAGGAGAGAATGTATCTTTTGAATTCTTGATCTCTATATAGATTCTTCTTTTAGGAATGTCAGAATTTTGTAATATGAACTAACAGCCACTAGGAATTGGTCCAAGTTTAAAGAGAAGATACAACAGAGACATAAGGTGTCAAATAGTTTAAGTCTTCCCTTTGCAATTATACAGTCATTATTTTTTACATAAAGTAAAAGTGCTTTAAAGTAAAAAATCTTTATGTAAAATGTATCAGTATTACTAATACTTAATATCCAAGTAGAATTTTCTATATTAATTTCATTTTACCCATTTCTTTTGAAAAGTACCATTCTGCCACAAGGTAAACAAAAAATGGTCCATAAAATGGTGACATCAGACACATCATAATTTGTGGTATGGGCCCTTTAAATTGAGACCAAATCTTTATTAACCCAAAGCTAGAGAGACTTTATTTGTTGCACATGCCCAAAGTAACTCACATTTTCTATAAGCCTTGAAGAATTTTTATTTAGCATAATGAGAGGTTTAATGACTTATATTCAAGACTATGTAGCACTCTTCTGCTGCTGTTCACCAGCTGTTTTTATGATGATAACTCCGAGATCTGGAATGTGATCGAAAATGAGAGTGTTTTGCTGTTTGTGCTTTAGCTTCAGAATTGGTATACCCCTTGGGAGATTTACAAGGGGATCTTGCTATGGAGTCAGAATGTCTTCCATGTGATCTTGATTTGGTTCCTGAGCTAGTCTGCTTTTGAGGTGAACTTGATTGTGATTTTCCTATTGACTTGGATCTTTTTGGTAACGACTTGGACCTTGACCGTCCTCTAGAACCAGAATTCCTTCTTGGAGTTCTTGACTGCCTTGCTGAGGTAGACCGCCTTGGTAGTGATTTGGAGCGAGATTTAGATTGGCTATAAGAAAATCGCCTGTGTCGAGACCTGCAAATATCCATAATGTTAACAGTATATATTTCACACAAAAACATTTAATAGGTCTAGAAACAGCAACTTCAGGAATGTATACATTTTACATAATATTAGTTATGATTTCACTGGATAAACTAAAAGAAACAATTTTAATTTTGCTATGCATGCTTTTAGTTCAAATGTAAGTACCAAGTCTGTAATATTTGTTATACTAGAATGTATGACCAAAATATTTTTACTTTGCTAGATTTATCTTATGATACAGGTCAGTTCTGAAAAATGCCCTGCATAATAAATCTGGGTTATACAACTCCTAAGAGGTATGAAAATCTGAAGGGAAAAAAAGATTAAAAAAAAGACAGAGAGAAAGTAACTATTTAAAGTTTATTAAATAATGCTTATAAAAACCAAAACCAAAACCAAATGCAGGACTTTTGAATCCCACCATGATAGAGCAACTTGTATTAGACTAATCTTCCCACGGAAAACAGCTATATAAAGAAGCTAAACAACATTTATAAAACAACTGTTCAAAGGTATTAGAGAATAACCAACCAACCCTAGCAGAACTTGAGGGGTTACAAACCATGGCTCTTTTACAAAGACCATGTTCCAAATGTTGGCATGGTGGAACTGAACCCAAACAGAAAATGGCTATTTGACTAAGCATATTAACAGACAAATTAGGATTCAGGACTACCAAAATGGTTGGGACTAAAGAGGCAAAATCTCAGAGATGAGAAAATGGCAGACAAGAAATCTCCTAAAATTTGCCTACAAATTCTCTTCAAGTCACTGGCCATCTTTTAAGCTGTGCACATAAAGGATGAGACTCCTAGAGGTCAAGAAAAATAGCAGTTGGAAGATTCAAGAATTAAGATGAAATTCTATCAGACACACAGTGCTGGGGAGAGAGGCTGGAGTTCAACCCCCAAAAGGTCAAAGAGCCTTGAGTAACAACCCAGGCTTTCAATTAAGAACCCAGAAGGGCCATATCCTACCGATCAGTCTTAACAATGCCTCAAACAAGCCTTGAAAAGATCAAGGTGATCTGCCAATACTCCTCCACCTACTAGAAGAAACTTCCTTTGGAGGATATCATCCAAAGCACTGCAAGTTTTCATCGACGATGGTCAACATCCAATAAAGAAATCCATGAAATATGTCAAAAATAGATAAAAATGACTAAAAGCTAAGGAAATACAAGACAAAAAAAAAAACCAGACCCAAAGTAATTTGGATATTGGCATTATTCAGACAGGAATTTTTAAAAATGACTATGACCGATGTGTTCAAGAAAATAAGAAGACAGGCAAAACAGATTAAAAAATGGAGAAATTCAACAGAATATTGGAATCTGTAGAAAGAAACAAATGGACATTTTAAGAGCTGAAAATATATATCTGAAATGTAAAAGTCACTAACTAGATAAATTTAACAGCAATCTATATACAGAAGAAAAAGTGAACTGAACTATAAAACAGATTATTAGAAAAACATATATACTGAAACACAATGAGAGAAAAGGAATTTTAAGAAATCCAGAACAAAGCCTAAGAGATATGTACTACACAGTCACACAGCCAAAAAGAAAAAAATGGGTGAGGCAGAAGCCATATTTGAAGAGATAATAGCCTAATATTTTCCCAAACTAATGAAAAGCATCAACTCACAATTTCAAGCAGCTCAGTAAACCCTGGAGAATAAGATACATTACCTGTAAAGGAGCAACATTAAGACTGACAGCTGACTATAAATATCAAGAAACGATAGAGTAATTTTTTTTCTTTTGCTTATATAACAAAGGTTTTATTACTTTAAGTAAAACTGTTAACAAAGTGATAGCTTTCCCAGTCGGCTTCTTAATGCATTTAACAAGTAACATTCTTGATAGAATAATTTTAAGTGTTTGTTTACTTTGGAGAGAAAGAATGTGAGTAAGGGAAGGGCAGAGAGAGGGAGACAGAGGATCCAAAGCAGGTTCCATGCCGAGAGCGCAGAGCCCAATGTGGGGCTCGAACTCACAAATCGAACTCACAAATCGTGAGATCAAGACCTGAGCTGAAATCAAGAATAAGACTCAAGTGACTGAGCCACCCAGGTGCCCCACTAGTTTGTTTTTTTATCCATATCCACTAAAGACAAAATAAGAGACCTCTTTTTAGTCTAAGATAATAGCACTTATACTGTATTTACTTATAGTATATGTTAGGCTTATACATACACTACTTCATTCATACGCATGCACATATGCACACACAAAATCTGATCCTTATGAATGTCATGAGAACTAGGTAAGATTTGCATTCTTTATACTATAATTTTACAAATGGAAAAAACTGAGGTCAGAGAGATCAAGCAATGATTTTATGATGAGTACAAACCAAAACAGCATTGTTACAAGATGTGGTTCTTTCTATTCCTGATACTTCATGATGATTTGGGATAATTGATGGACATTTTTTTTTAAACTATAACCTAGTTTTTAAATGTTTTATTTATATTTAAGACTGAGAGCACAAGTGGGGGAGGGACAGAGAAAAAAGGGGACAAAGGATCCGAAGCAGGCTTTGCAATGACAGCAGTGAGCCCTATGTGGGGCTCAAACCCACGAACTGGGAGATCATGACCTGACCGAAGTCAGACACTCAAACAACTAAACCACCCAGGCGCCCCAATAGACATTGTTAAATTTTCTCCAGCTAAGTGTTATACTTTACTTTTACTAGAAGGCATAAAATGATGTGAATATTTGCCGTTTTTTGATTAATCAGGAGAAATACTGGTTAACTATGGCTTTAATACATTTGGGAAACAACTGACATTCCTAATGAATAAAATGGGCAATTTACTTTTCTTTTTTCTTTCAAACTTGTCTTCTTCACAAGGGCCAATGGATATTATTAAGTTACAACAGTGTTGCATTAGGCACAATATTATACCTCCTTTAATCTTTGATATAAACATCATTCATTTAAAAATAAGTAAATAATTCATTCATTTTATACATACCACCTGTATCATTCTAAACTTATGCTAAAATGTATATGTATAGTTTCTACATATGTATAGTTATATGTATACATATATAATCTATATGTGTATAGTATATAAATATAAAATTCATAGTAATATAAACTGTTGAACATTACTCCCTTATATCCTCCGTAAAGTCAGAAGCAGTACCACTGTTATCAGTGTGGCTTTCCTATATATAAGGCATGTAAAAGTTTTTTAAAATCTTGATTTGCTTTCACTATGTTTTAAGTTCTATTAATATAATTTTGTATTTTATTTTATTTTATTTTTTTTTTAATTTTTTTTTCAACGTTTATTTATTTTTAGGACAGAGAGAGAGAGACAGAGCATGAACAGGGGAGGGGCAGAGAGAGAGGGAGACACAGAATCGGAAACAGGCTCCAGGCTCTGAGCCATCAGCCCAGAGCCCGACGCGGGGCTCGAACCCACAGACCGCGAGATCGTGACCTGGCTGAAGTCGGACGCTTAACCGACTGCGCCACCCAGGCGCCCCTAATTTTGTATTTTAAATATAGAAACTATACATCCAGAGCTAAATCTCAAATAATCAATCAATGGGAAAATGGCTTTCCCTTAGCCACGGACAAACTTGACTGTTCTCCATAGATGCAAAGGAGGTTTTATATTCTTATACTATCAGAGAAACTATGATAAAAGAGATCATGTTCCAGATAGGACTGTTTCTAAATATTTCTTCACCAATCTCGGTAATGGCTCAATCCTGACTGGGTTTTCCTGGATTATAAAAGGTGCTTAGGGCTTCCTCCCTGCTTCATGCCTCCCTAAGGATGGGCCAAATCAACATATTTGTTCACACACAAGGAGAGGTACTGAACTGATATGTAAGATTCTAGAGCCCTGACAGGGCCATATTTTCTAGCAATCAGGATTCCTGGATATTAAAAACTCATAGAAGGTAGATGTAGTTCTCACTTCCTATCTTTGACTTCCACTTGGCTGGAGGGATTGGAGCCAGGTCACTCCACAGTCTTTTTAAATCTGGGAACCTGGGGCAAAGATTAACTCTCTAGCTCTGGTACATATACCATACACTGCGCTTTTTCTTGGCTAGGCTCTTGGAGTTGAGGAACGGAGGGATCAGAGTGAAAGTGAGCAGCCCTGGTGATCTTTGATCTGAAGTTATATGGGCCTATATAGAGTTTAGGTGTACTACATGTGGCACAGGAGCGCTCTTATTTCTCACAGAAAAAAGGATATTCGTATAAATGCTGATCATTTTTTTTACATTTTTTAAACGTTTATTTATCTTTGAGAGAGAGAGACAAGGATGAGCAGGGGAGGGGCAGAGAGAGAGGAAGACACAGAATCTGAAGCAGACTCCAGGCTCCGAGCTGTCAGCACAGAGCTGGATGCAGGGCTCAAACTCATGGACCATGAGATCACGGCCTAAGCTGAAGTCAGATGCTTAACCGACTGAGCCACCCAGGCGCCTCTTTTTTTTTTTTTTTTTTTTAAAGTAAACTCTACACTTGGCACCTGGGTGGCTCAGTTGATTAAGCGTCCGACTCCGGCTCAGGTCATGATCTCATGGTTTGTGGGTTCGAGCCCCGTGTCAGGCTCTGTGCTGACATGGACCCTGCTTGGGATTCTGTGTCTCCCTCTCTCTGCTCTTCCCCCATTCATGTTCTGTCTCTCTCTCCTCCAAAAATAAATAAACATTAAAAAAAAAAAAAGTAAACTCTACACCCAACATGAGGCTCAAACTTATGACCCCAAGATCAAGAGCAAGAGTTGCATGTTCCACTGACTGAACACCAATGCTGATTATTCTTAAAGAAAATTTACCTTAAAATTCTATATGTCTATGAAAAAATTACAGCACTAAAACTCAAGATAAATACAATTATTTAATAATTTAAGAATGCTAATACAATTTCAGTTATTATTTAAATAACTTCAAGTTAATTAATTTTCATTGTGTTTTACTATTTTTTTAATTATTTTTTATTATTAGTGATTTACTATTATTCTAACAGAAACGAAGTCCTGGCTAGCAATATAAATAACCTGCAAATATCTTTTTCTGAAAAAACTTACTATTTTCATGTCTTCTTAGAATAGTACCATACTTATAATTTGTTTTTGAAAATAATTTACCTTTTATAAATATATTGATTTACATTAATTTTAAGTTCAATCTCCTGTCACAAGTGATTATATTTCTTATGAGTTTTTAGTCATCCCGAACTTAAATTCTTAATTATTCTGTTCAGTTAGGAAAATTTTATTTTTTTTAATTCCACTTTATATGTCAAGTATACATTTTAAAATTTTTTGTTTTTTCTTCAGTACATATTACTTTTCTATTTAAAAAGCTTAAAATTAAGTCTGTCATGAAATAAAAACACTGGAAGGTACCCAATATACCCAAGTTAAATAACAATACACTTCAAATAGAGAGGAGCATATCGTTTTTAAAAAAGTTGACCTTTATGTATATTATACAAAATGATTCTGAGGCCTGTTTTTGAAAACCCTTTAAAATGTTTTCCAGAAAAGTAGAAAATTAAGTTTTCAATCCTCCTGTATTTTGTACTCACTCTTTAAGGCTATCAGATCGTCTCCTATTTCTTCCCCATGAAGAGCTTCTACTTCGAGTTCTCCTTTGGCTGGGGCTTCTTGACCGCCTATGATCACTTGGAGAACAAGGGTGACGTTCTTTTGATTTCATTTGGCCTGGTGCTAGAATACGAAATAATTTATTACCTGAAAACCTCAGTAACAGCTATTCAAATAGTATTCTTTTCTGAAAGAATTTAAAATAAAAAAAAAAAATCTGTCAGAGCTAAAACTCATTCTGCTGAATAAACAAGATCTAATGTTTAGTCACACTTACTTTTTCGATCACCTTGTGCAAACTGTATTTCAATTTGACGGCCACATACCCACTTTCTATTGAGGTTATAAAGAGCATCTTCAGCATCGCGAACATCTTCAAATATGACTAGCTGTTAAGGATACTTTGAACGTCAGATATCAAGTAAAAATATTATTTTTATCGAATTATTTACATGTGACATGAAATTAATAGGAAAAAACAACTCCAAGTTATTAAGCTCACATCTTATATATATATAATCAGAAATTTCACTTTTATTATGAAAACAAAATGTCCCCTTATGATTTAGTGTAACTAAATCATACTACACTTCTAATGCACACATTAGTGTAGCTGCAGTATGCATTTATAATGTGAAAGAACATGTTATGAGAAAAAAATAAGTCCAACACTGGCTAGGATTAAAAAAAAAAATTGTTTAGGCTCTCCCTTCTTTCAGGTAAAAGATTCATCAGGTTTTTCAGCATACAGAAGCCTTTATTCTGAAATTATAATTACTCTTTCACTAAAAGGCTTTTTGATTATGACATTTAGGAAAAATTACTTACTATAAACAAAACTGCAAAGATACATGTAACTTAAAATATTACACCTTTGAAAATGATATTTACTTTTGAACCTACTATTTTAAAATACTTTTATGTTTTTATTACTTGGGATATAATTATAAAAAAAACACAAAGCAATCTGTGAACATCTGGAGTTACATATATTGGTTTGTAATACCCCACTAAACTTCCTTACCTACGTAAATTATATATTAAACCTAACTAAAATGGAAATAAACTATAGAAAATGACTAGCTGTTTTTCAGGAGGTTGTTCACTGGTTTAATTTTTTAAAAATAGAAAACAAAAAGCTCAAGAAACGCAATACAAAATGAGACTTTGGCAATTACCTCAATGTCACTTGATCTTGAACCTTGACCTTTACTCTTTAAGGCTTGCAAGATGGACTTTATAAGAGACGCAGAACCAACAAAATCAGACTTGGCTTTGACTCTGGAACTCTGAATAAATGTAGGAAAGCCGAAGTCTCAACCTGGTGTTGGCTTTGTCTTTTGCTTGATAAAGACTTCCCCTCTTCCAGGTCTTTATATCTGTGTCCACCCTCCCTCTTTACTCCTTGATGCTTGAACTTTAGGTGCCTTTTTTCTCGCCTGCTTGGTTTATGCTTGGATTCTAGCTAACAGGTTGGTTCAAACTGGGGGGTGCTTGCCAGCTACTGTGGACTGCTTTAGATTTTCTGAGATAGAGAAATAAACACATTTAATTAGGCAATGTTAATCTCATAACATATGCTCCTGAATACACATGCATATCTGCACAGATATACAGTACATTCACATGCACACAGTAAAACAAAGGATATTGAACATAAGCAAATCCTCTTGGGCGGCGGGTGTAGAAGTCAAGTGGAATGTAAACGTCTACTATAGGGCCATAGCGACCAAACTCACGGCGCAAGTCCTCAGGCCTGAAGTGTTTTAGAAATAAGGCAAAGAAATATGAATAGCTGGATTAAAATATTTTGCCTACGGAAATCCAGTTGAAACCTTCAAAAGAAAGTATTATCTAGACCAGTATTATCTAAAATTGTTGTAACAATCACCCAGGGTTTAGGAAGGAGGAAAAAAGAAAGCAAATCCTCAGGCCTCACTTGTAGAGATTCTGATTTAAAAGATCTGCATTAGGGGCTGGAAATCTGTATTTTTATAAGCACTCCAGGTGGCTGTTCGGATTGGGGAAAAAATGACCAAGGAAAGTTATTATCCATCTTTGAAAGTGACTTTTATTAAAAGAGATTTCAATTGTCAATATAAAAAGTTCTGTTAACTATTTCATTAAGAACACATTCATTTGCCTCACTATAATTTCACATTTATGTTAATTTTGTTTTCAGATGGCAAGGATTAGCTGCTAAAGAAGTCCTAAAATTATTTCTCAGGCTTTAAAGAAAACTGTTTTACTATTAAACATAAAGCAAAGTAACTACTATTCTTAAATTTGATAAGTATTTTTAAACCTCCTATATGCCTTCTACTGTGACAGGTACTAAAAGGGGGACACCAAAGGAATATTTAGCTTATTTGTCTTCACGGAGCAACAACTTAAACTGAAGAGACAGAATACTTAGCATTTATAGCTGACAATTAGAGTACATTTACAATCCAGCTACTGTTCACCTTAATGCTAACAATTTTATGGTTGTTTAAAGGTGAGGGCACAGACAGATGAATTCGCCTAAGGTCAGCAAGCCAGCATATGATAGAACTAGAATCAAACATCCACAACCTGACACTCGTCTGTGTTCTGAATCACTGCACCGTACCGCCTCATGGAGATCTTAGAGATTCAGCATCAAGCTATGAGCGCAAAACATGGCCCAGAAGAAATAAGAGTCCTTCAAAACATATTATGCAGAAAGAAGACTCAAGATGACTGCAAAGCTGCTAGCTTGGGCAAATGGAAGAAAGACAGTGTCCGTGACAGAAATTAGATAGCTGGAAAAGAGAAGTTAGATTGATGAGGGAGGAGAGAGGCAAAAGAAATGCTGGATTTGAGGTGATGGCCGAACATCCGTAAGAGCTCTGTAAACAGGGGGCCTGGCTGGCTCAGTAGGTAGAGCATGTAACTCTTGATCTCGGGGTTGTGGGTTCGAGCCCAATGTTGGGTGTAGAGATCACTCAAAAAAAGAAAATAAAATCTTTAAAAAAAAGAGTTCTGTAAACAACTGAAAATTATTATTAAATAAATTTATTTTCAAGACTAAAAGTCAGTGATTAAAGCTAGAGATGTGAATTCACCACACAGTGCAACTGACATGACATCCTTTATTGTACTTTTCTTTTTTTTTATTTTTATTTTTTCAACGTTTTTTATATATTTTTGGGACAGAGAGAGACAGAGCATGAACGGGGGAGGGGCAGAGAGAGAGGGATACACAGAATCAGAAACAGGCTCCAGGCTCTGAGCCATCAGCCCAGAGCCTGACGCGGGGCTCGAACTCACGGACCGCGAGATCGTGACCTGGCTGAAGTCGGACGCTTAACCGACTGCGCCACCCAGGCGCCCCTGTACTTTTTTTTCATTTAATACTTATTATAAAATGTTTAATTGTCTGCCTTCCCTGAAACTATTATCTTTGGAGGGTAGTGACAATGTCTTTCTTTCCTTTACTCATTCAACAAATACTTACTGAGCACCTACTCTGGCCAGCCTGTAGCGATGTGATGGAGAACAACATTCCTGCTGCCAGCCTTGTGATGGAGAACACAAGACAACAGGGTAATGACTCTCAGCCATTCCTGAGTATTAGAATCATTTGTGAAGGAGATGTTATAAAAACAGGTACTCCAGCCTGATGCATTAACCTTGGACATAATTAGTACTTCCCCTGGTGGGCCCCAGGTAGGTTTAGTTTTTTTAAGGGTTTCACAGGCAATTCTGAGAATCAGGGTTGAGAATCCCTTTTTTTTTTTTTTTCAACGTTTATTTATTTTTGGGACAGAGAGAGACAGAGCATGAACGGGGGAGGGTCAGAGAGAGAGGGAGACACAGAATCGGAAACAGGCTCCAGGCTCCGAGCCATCAGCCCAGAGCCCGACGCGGGGCTCGAACTCACGGACCGCGAGATCGTGACCTGGCTGAAGTCGGACGCTTAACCGACTGCGCCACCCAGGCGCCCCGAGAATCCCTTTTAAAGCAGGTGTCTTCACCAGTGTACCTAGCATTGTTGCTTGGCACAAAGTAGGCACTCAAAATATTGAGTTACCATTTAATAGTCAAGGAGACTGAGAATGAGAGAAGTTACCTTGCCCAGAGGTACATATAGCCAGCAGCAAAGCTAGACTTCAAATGAATTTTCTGAGGCAACCAATCCCTTCAACAAATGTGAGTGCCTGACAGGAAAAGGATCCTAGATGGTGTAATGGAGGTTGGGGCAATGTGTGTCACGGAGGCCTGGAATCCCAGAAGCCAAGGGTGACAGAAATCTGAAGAAGCCAAACTTCCAAAAGAGCTGGCTCCCACTGTCACCACTGCCACAGCTATTAGCTGTTGTTTTGCTCTCATTTATTTTTGTATTTTTGGTGTCATCTATTTTGACATTCAGAAAATAGAGAATACAATAAACACTTATGTATCCACCAAGATTTATTATATCTCAATATTTGTCATCATTTTCAGTAATTTTTTTAGAAACAAGATATATTATTCTATCTTAGAGACAATCATTGGTGTTTATTATTCCTCTGCATAACTTTGTATTTTTACTGTAAATTAATATATCCCTAATTACGTGTTTTTGTATATGTCAAACTTCATATAAATGGTATCAGACTATTTATATAATTTTACTCCTTCTCCTCCCTTGAAATTTTTCTATGTAGCCCTAGTTCACTCATTTTAACTCTGTATTGGTATTATCAATAAATCACAATTTACTTATTCATCTTTCTGTGGATAAACATTTAAGATGCTATCTGTTTTTTAAACTGCAAACTATGCTGCAGCATATGTTATGATACAAGTGCCATGCAGAGCTCTGCTAGATTCCTGGGATGCATCACAATGCAACTGGTGGGCCGGAGAGCACGCTGATCTTCAGCTTCTACTGAACTACATGAAGAGAACTACATGTTCTCCAAAGTGACCAAATCAATCTATACTCCTCAAAACCTACGTAAGAATTCCACTGCTCCACCTCTCATTAACATTTTTAATTCTTGTCATCCTGAAGCATATAAAGTGAATGGGTATCTTAATGTTTTAATTTTAATTTACCTAACAACCAGTTAGGTGCAACATATTTTCATGTGTTATGGGTCAGTTGTTTCCTGTTAATACCTACCAGCAGTATTTCTGGGTTAAAGAGGATGTGTAATTTTTATGTACTGTAATTTTTATGAAACTGCCACAGTCCTGCAAAGTGGCTGTGCCATTTTATACTCCCACCCACAATGTATGAGTTTCAGTTAGGCTAATCTTTGTTAGCACTTTCTAGGTTGTCAGATTTTTGGTTTTTTTGTTTTTTATCTTAGCCATTGAAGTGGGAGTTAAGTGGAATCTCACTGTGGTGGTTTTTTTCAGTTTAATGTTTATTTATCTTGTGAGAGAAGAGCAAGGGGAAGGGGAAGAAAGAGGGAGAGAGAATCCCAAGCAGACTTGGTCGCTGTCAGCACAGAGCCCTACATGGGGCTTGATCTCACTAACAGTGAGATCATGACCTGAGCCTGAATAAAGTTGGATACTTAACCAACTGAGCCACCCAGGAGCCCTCTCACTGTGGTTTTAATTTGCACTTCCAAATCACAAATGATCTCAAGCACTTTTTCATGTGCTAATTTTCCTTGTGAAGTGTCTGTTGGAGCTTTCTGCCCATTTTTAATGTTTGTCTCTTTTATTATTGAGTTGTAAAAGTTCTTTACATATTCTGAAAAAAAGTCCTCTGTATTGCTTTGTGTATGTTTTGTGAATATTTTCTCTCAGTCTGTAGCATGGCTATTTACTCTCTTAATAGCATTTCTTTTTTTAAAAAAAAAAAATTTTTTTTTTAACGTTTTTATTTATTTTTGAGACAGGGAGAGACAGAGCATGAACGGGGGAGGGTCAGAGAGAGGGAGACACAGAATCTGAAACAGGCTCCAGGCTCTGAGCTGTCAGCAGAGCCCAACGTGGGGCTCGAACTCATGGACCGCGAGATCGTGACCTGAGTCGAAGTCGGCCGCTTAACCGACTGAGCCACCCAGGTGCCCCAATAGCATTTCTTAATGAACAAGAATTTTAAATTAGAGAAATCTAATTTTTCAATATTCTTTTTTCTTTTATGGTAATTGCTTTCTTTGCCCTATAAGAAATCTTTGCCTATCCCCAGGTCATAAAGACATTCTTCTATGTTTTCTTCTAAAAGCTTTATTTTGTTATCTTTTCCATTTCAATTGATGATCCAGCTCAAATTGTGATGTGAAGTAGAGGCTGCAGTTCATTTTCCCCAGTATGCACTGTCCATTTGTTGAAAAGATTTTCCTTTTTCCTTTTTCCACTGGTACCTTTGTTAAACATCAGCTGACTCTGTAAGTGTGGATTATTTATGGACTCTCTATTCTGTTCTATTAATCTATTTGTCCATCCTTAGGCCAATATCACACTGTCTTGATTACTATATATTTTTAGTAGGTCTTATGTCAGGTAAGTCTTCCAACTTCAGTGATCTTTTTCTAGATTATTTTGGCTAGTCTAGATCCTTTCCATATCAATATATTTTAGAATTAACTTGTCAGTTCCTATTTCATGTATTTTTCAAATTTATTTATTATTTTTTTTAGTAATCTCTACATCCAACATGGGGCTTGAATTCACAATCCCAACATCAAGAGTTGCACACTCTGACTGAGCCAGCCAGGTGCCTCTGGCTGATCAGGAATGTCTTGAATCTATAATATAATCAGTTTGGGGAGAACTGATAACTTAGCATTTTGTTTTCGAATCCAAGAACATGGTATATCAATTTATGTTGTCTTCTTTCTCTTGGCACTATATTGTAGTTTTTTGTGTAAAGGTTTTTATTACATGTTTTGTTGTTGTTCTTGTTAAACTTATTTCTAAGTCTGTTTTTTGATACTAAGGCAAATGAAATTGTTTTAAAATTTTCATTTTCAACTATTTACTGCTAATATATAGAAATAGATTTTTCATAAGTTTATCTGGTATTCTGATAACTTACTAACTCATTACTTAAGGTTTACATAAACATGTCACCTAAGAATAGGGACAAGTTTTGCTTCTATCTTTATAATTTTTATGTTTTTTATTTATTTTTCTTCCCTTGTTACACTGGTTAGGGCCTGCAACAAAATGATGAATTGAGGTTGTAAGAGTGGGCATGTTTGGCTTGTTTTGATCTTAGGGGGAAAACATTCGGCTTTTACCATTAAGTATCTTGTTAGCTATAGGCTTTTCATAGGTACCCTTTATTGGGCTGGGGAAGTTCCCTTCTATTCCAGTTTGCTGACACTTTTTCTCATGAATCTTGCTGAATTCTGTTTAATGCTTTTTCTGTATCACCATCAATATCAATATAGTCTCATACACACTGTAACCAAAGAATGCTACTAATTATGTCAAACGAGGTACTTGACGGTTGCTTCCCAACCTAACATGATGTTATGCATCAAAATGAGAATGTTATATTTGGGATTTGGACATTACTTTGTTCCATTAGAAAACTGTATCTGACATTTAAAAAAAATTATTCTTCTACATAGTGCAAAAGCAAAGATATTAAAAGTAATATTCTTCCTGAACCAGATCTTGTTTCACCAGTGAAAAGAAAAATAATACAAATTAAAACAGCATGAAATGTATTTAAAAAATTTTTTTTAAAGTTTAAAAAAAATTTTTAAAGTAATCTCTACACCCAACGTGAGACTCAAACCTATAACCGTGAGATCAAGAGTCACATGCCCCACTGATTATGCTAACCAAGCACCCCTAAAATGTATTTTTCTTTCTTTAGTTTTTTTTTTTTTTTTTAACATTTATTTACTGAGACAGAGAAGACACAGGCGTGAGCAGGGAGGGAGCAGAGAGAGAACCCCACAGAATCTGAAGCAGGCTCCAGGCTCTGAGCTGTCGGCACAGAGCCCGGCCTGGCTTCAGAACTCTCACAAACTGTGAGATCATGACCTGAGCCGAAGTCGGTCACCTAACCAACTGAGCAACAACAAGCTTAGCAGCCCAAATTTCTTTAGTTTTGATACTCAATTTCATTCCAAAAAAAATTTAAGCTAAGCCATAATACCTTTTAATGTCTTGTGCTTTATGGCACATATTAAAATGGCTACTGCAAAGAAGCATTTAAAAAAATGTTTTTTAAGTTTATTTATTTTGTGTGAGAGAGAGCACCGCAGGGAGAGGGAAGAGGAGGAGGGAGAGGAGAGGAGGAGAGGGAGGAGAGGAGAAGGAACAATCAGATGTGAGCTTTTTACTGTCAGCACAGAGCCCAATGTGGGGCCTGAACTCACAAACCGTGAGATCATGACCTGAGCTGAAGTCAAAAGAGGGATGCTTAACCGAATGAGTCACCTAGGTACCCCTTTTTAAAATTTTTTAAAAGTTTGTATTATTTATTTTGTGTGTGTTTGTGTGTGTGTGAGAGAGAGAGAGAGAGCACACACATGGGAGGGGCACAAAGAAGTATTTTAAATAAAATTTGGCTTTGTTATAGTTGCCACATTACCAGTTAACTTACACTGCATGCCACCCTGTACAAAAAAGCTTTTAATATAGGTTACACGTAATGATTCTACCTTCACAAAACTACTCAGCAGCTGGGCAATTTTAGGTAAGAAACTTAATTTCTCCAAGCCTCAGTTTCTAATCTGTGAAATGGGATTAATAAAGAACATACATTACAGGGTTATTGGGAAAATCTAGTAAGATAATATATGCAAAATGTTTAGTACAGTGTTTAACACATAGTGAATACTCAACAAATGTCAGTGATTATTATTCCATTAATACAAATCTAGATGATTGCCCCCAGTGGCAGTACTAAAAAGTGGTGAAAAAACTGGAAAAAGAAATCAATAAATCTCAATTTTCAGTCTTGATTACTCATGGTGATTATCTAGATCAGAAAACATGTGTCATGTGATGTGTTTTATTTGGCCTTAAGGTGTGCTGAAACATAAAACTGCCAATATTTTACAGCTTTTAAATCTACAAAAACAGGAATCTCATATAATTCAATTTAATAAATGCCAGCATTTTGAAACAGAGTTTACACAAACACAGGTTTGTTTCTTTAGAAAATTAGGACTTTGTGGCAACAAGTCCAAATGTCTATGTAGTCATTAGCTGCAGCTAGTATTACCAGTTGCCATCCCCTTTATATGGCATGAGTTCTTTTCTATTTGCTACAATCCACACCATCCTATTGTGCCTTATAACCCAACAACTTCACTCATTCATATTACCCTGGCTAGCCCCTGTGGCTACTGGAATTGGAAACCTCTCTCTCTCTCTTTTTTGTAGACACACTAGAGAGACTAGATGCTTATTTAGTATTCAGGTGGTCTTTAACTGTGGAATTTTTTTTTTTTTTACTCTACCCAAATTATAAATATTTGTTTTCTATGTATTGATAAACAGGTTGAGAGGAGAAATATAAACACACGCATCTTTTAGATGTCATTAAGGTATATTAACCCACACTCTATAATTGTGACATACATAATAGTAGGGATCAAATAAAAACTGAACATTTACTCCTCAAAGGTAAACGACAATGATTACTCCAGATGGCTCTGGAGTCAAGGGCTCCAATATTTGAATATCTGAAGCCATTAAGCCCCAGTTAAATCATTAAAACTCTTAAGCTTCAGGTTTTCCTTGTGTATTATAAAGATGATATTGCATACCTAAAAAGGTTGAGCGGCAAATAAATTAGGTAAAACCAGTGAAATGGAAACGTCTATTTATGCCCCTATCCCACCCTCTATCATTCATTCCCTCTGGCTCCTGTTAAGGGAGAAAGTGCTTTATGATGAAGAGGTCATTCCTTAATACTTATGTTTAAGCACTATGTAGGCAAGAATTCTCAAGGCGGGGAGGGGGATGTGTGGACCGAGAGCATCTCACTGGACCAGGGAAGTCTATCCAAACCGTTATCATGGGTGTTTACACTGCACTCTGAACTTTATAGAAAAACATAAATCTCTTTCACTGAAGCCATCCTTTGTATTGTGCAGCAAAATGTAACCAGCATCCCTTGTAAGTAGACCACACTCAGAACGGGAAGAGTAAGGCCCAAGGTACTACGCATTATTTTATAATACGTTCTCACCATCCCCAATTCCTCTTCATCTAGGACACAAGACGCGCAGCTTTATCGGGGCACGGCGACAAAGGAGTCGAATCGCAGGCACTGGCCCGAGGGAAAACACTCTCGGCCAGGGGCGGGGAGGCACCCTGGCTACAGGGAAAGCAGAAGCCTGCGCGCCGCGGGTCCTCAAGCAGAGGATGGGCACCGATCTCCCGGGCGCGGGGCCCGGCCCCGGGGGTGCGCTGCGCCGGGGCGGAACGCCGGCCGGGAGAGGGGAGGCGCGAGTCCCGCCCCGGCCTGGAGCAGCCCGAGGGTTCGCACCGCTCCCGGGAAGGGCGCCTCCGCGGAAAGCACAGGCCCAGCCAGAGGCCGGGCAGGCGCCGGGCACAGCCGGGGGCCGCGACCCGGCTCCGCTACGCTGCCGTTACCCGGCCCCTCCCCCGCGCGCCAACCTGCGGCCGCAGCCGCCGCTCACCTGGTGGCGTCTGCGACGTTCCTGACGAACAGGGAGGTGTTGGGGGGCCTCGTGTAGCGCGACATGGCCGCTTCCTCCGTTGCCTTTGGGCCTGCCCACGGCCGCCAGGCTCGCTCCGTTTCTCGCAGTCGCCGCTGCCGCCACAGCAGCTCCGCCGGCCCCCGGCGCGACCCCCTCCCCTCGGCCTCGGCCCCGCGAGCGCGCAGCCGCAGAGGCGGGCGCGGGGCGGGGGGGCGCTGCGCTGCGCGAGCTTGTCCGTGCAGACCGCGCGGGGGCGGAGCCCGAGCCGAGGGGATCCGGGGAGGGGGAGGCGCGGGGTCCTGAAGATCCAGGGAATCCGAGGAGGGGGCGGTGCTGGGGTCCGCCAAGGTCCGGGGAGGGGGCTGTGCGGGAGTCCCGGGGTCCGAAGAGATCCGGGGAGAAGACGGCGCGGGGTCCCGCAGACCGAGGGAATCTGAGAAGAAAAGGGGAGGCGCAACAGAGGATCTGGGAGGGGGCGGTGTGGAAGGGTCCCAGGTTCCGAGGAGATCTGGGGATGGGGCGGTGCCGAGGTACGCGGGGATCCGGGAAGGAGGGGAGCTTGGAGGCTGGAGTCCGAGGGGTCTGGAAAGGGGGCGCTTGGGGTCAGAGAGTGTCAGGAGGGCGGAGGCCAGCGGGGTCCTAAGAGCTGAAACTGAGGCGGAGGATAGAGGATCCGGAGAGAGGGTGTTGGGAGTCGTCGGAGTGGGTGGTCGTGAAGGTAGAGTTCAACTGCTGAACAGCGGATGGCCCGTGGGGCCTTCATCCCTACATCCTCAGCCCAAGACCTTGGCACTAGTTCCGCCTACGGTTCCTTTAGCCCTGAGCCTAATAAGGCTTTAAAATTGTGAGGATTCGGGGTTTTGTTTGTGTTTTGATTCTTCACTTAGGGCACACTATTCAGGTGTGGATACATTCATTTAGATGTTTGCTGAGTGCCTACTATGCACCAGGAATGTGTTAGGTGTGGGATATAGCAACACTACAGGCCAAGTCCCAACCCTTATTGTAGAGAGAGGGTGCAACAATAAACGAACAAATGAGGACGTGATGTAGAAGAAAGCAATGAAAAGGCAGTGGCAATTAAGCAAATTAAAAAATTTTTTTTTAATTTTTATTTTCTCTGGAAGGAGAGAGGCAGAACGTGGGGGGGGGACGGGGGGAGGTGTGCAGAGAGAGAGAGAGAGACAGAATCCGAAGCAGGCTCCAGGCTCTAAGGTGTCAGCACAGAGCCCAATAGGGGGCTTGAACTCAAGATCTGTGAGATCATGACCTGAGTGAAGTTGGTTCCCCAACCGACTGAGCCACTCAGGCGTCCTGGTGATTAAGCAAATTTAAAGTATCCTCCTTCCCTTGCTCCAAAATGTAGCCCAGCCCTTTCTAGTTACACTTCTGCTTTCAGGTTTACTCTTATCATTGGCACAGCGTATTACCCAGCACTGTAACAAGGTAACTTGTTAATTATTATTTTCATACGTTTCTGTTTATTTAGTAATCTCTACACCCAGCATGGGGCTCGAACTCAAGACCCCGAGATCAAGAGTCATGCACTCTTCCCACTGAGCCATCCGGGCACCCCCAGGTAACTTATAATTATTGATAGCACTCCTTTTTATTCTCAGAAGTGGTAGATTTTGGAGGATAAATAATAGGGTGACCCTACACAGCTCAGACTCAAAGGCTGTGAGAGTTTCCCAAGGTCTAGAACCGCTTCTGGAACAGTGGCCATTCATTTAAAAAAGAATTACTTTGGCATAGTAGGCACAGGACTACACGGAATATAAAAGGGATGAGGAGGTGTGGTCAGCGTTCCTAGTCTCATAGAGCTTACAATTTGGTAGGGAGGGAGAATCTAAAAACTAATAAAGACATAGACCATGACAAGGGCTGTGGTAAGAGCTCTATGCTGAAGGAGAGGGGACCTTAATAGTGGTTGGCAAACAGGACTAGAGTGTTACTGAATTTTTACCCGAAGTCTTGGGCAGGTATTTCAAGACTGAAGAAGAGCAATCCATGCACTGAAAACAGCATATGCAGTGACTTTGAGGCAATATAGGAATGATAGGAGGCAAACGAGCAAAAAGCTGAAGAACAGGAAAGTGAGGCTGGGGAGCAGACCTGGTTTATAGTAGGGAAGTTTGGAATGCTGACTATATTGGTTTCCTAGGGCTGTCATAACAAGTTACCTCTGATTCAGTTGTGTAAAACAAGAGAAATTTATGGGGCATCTGGCTGGCTCAGTCGGTGGAGCATGCAACTCTTGATCTCAGGGTTGTGAGTTCAGTCCCACATTGGGTGTAGAGATTTACTTAAAAATAAAATCTTTAAAAAAGACAGAGAAATTTATTCTCTCACAGTTCTGGAGGTCAGAGGTGTAAAATCATGGTGTTAATAGGACCACACTTTCTCTAAAGGTTCTAGGGGAGAATCCTTCCTTGCTTCTTCTAGTCAGTCTCCGGTGCCTGCAGGCATTCCTTGGCTTGAGGCTGCATATTTCCAGTCTCTGCCTCCATCTTCACATGACCTTCTCTTCTTCTGTCTTATAAGAAAACTTGTCATTGGATTTGGTGCCCACCCAGATAATCCAGGTTTATCTCATGTCAGGATCCTTAATTGTAGCTACAAAGACCTGTTTTTACAAATGAGGTCATATATGGGAATTAGGGCTTGGACATACCTTTTCTGGGGCCACCATTCAACCCATTACACTGACCTTGTGGGGAAAAGAGACTTGATTTTGTGCGAAATGAGTCATTAATAAACCTATTGCCTGACATATTAAGTAGGGTAAAAACTCCATGTAAACTGTGAATTTACTTAGTTAAAAATATATGTATTTATGTGCCCAGATGTAAATAGGATTTTTTTCTGAGTGGAGGCATTATACTCTGAATTTTACTTTCTTCTTCTTACCTTTGATACTGTCAGATTATTATTTTTAAAATCCTTTTTAAAATTGGAAATGCCTGGGGCACCTGGATGGCCCAGTCAGTTAAGCATCCGACTTCCACTCGGACTATGATCTCGTGGTTCACAGTTTGTTTGAGCCCAGTGTCAGGCTCAGTGCTAACAGCTCAGAGCCTAGAGCCTCCTTCGGATTCTGTGTCTCCCTCTCTCTCTCTGCAACCCCCCCTGCTCACACTCTTTCTCTCTTTCTCTCAAAAATAAACATTTTTTAAAAAAAATAATAACAATAAAATAAAATTGGAAAAGCCCTAGAAAGCTCTTTGCAGTTTGAAAAAAAGCTTTTGTAGGAGTATGTGAAAAGTCTTACAGTGCACGAGGAGTGGGTTTTTGTTGTTGTTGTTGTTCCTATTGCTAGAAGTATCTGAAGAAAGGATTTTAAACTATAAAAGTTTCAGTTAGAAACTTGAACTTTGAAAGTAGCTGGAATTGATTTAAAGTAAATTGTGGAAATGGTAACTGTAAGGAGATGGATGTGTTAAATAGCTTGACTGTAGTATTTATTTCACTGTGTATATATCTCAAATCATCATGTTGCACACCTTAAATGTGTACACTATTTAATAAATTAATTTAGTTGTGGAGCCATAATTATGTACATAAAATGGTATGCACTTCCTGTTTCTGAATATGAAGTGTAAAGAAGTGTCAGTAAGCTGTTTTCTAGTTGGAAGGCCCAACGAGGGACATGGTCAAGAACGGACAATGAAAGAAGGTTATACAACAGTAGGCTTAGCCAGTGTCTTGACCAGGTCCTCAAACCAGCTGCGATGAGTAACTGTTGAAACTATACTTTGCCTTCTTTTTTTTTCAACGTTTTTTTTTTTTATTTTTTTTATTTTTGGGACAGAGAGAGACAGAGCATGAACGGGGGAGGGGCAGAGAGAGAGGGAGACACAGAATCGGAAACAGGCTCCAGGCTCTGAGCCATCAGCCCGGAGCCCGACGCGGGGCTCGAACTCACGGAGTGCGAGATCGTGACCTGGCTGAAGTCGGACGCTTAACCAACTGCGCCACCCAGGCACCCCTGTACTTTGCCTTCTTAAAGCAGTGGGGAAAAGGCTTAAGTCAAGACTAAATACCCTGCCTGTCACTAGACTCACAAACATTTACATATTTACCCTAAGTCCTAGAATTTAGCTAGGTGCCATTCAGTAAATCAATCATTGCTTTCTTTACCAATGGTATCCTACAGGCTTGGGAGAGTTAATGTTCTCTCTAAATTGCCAGAGAATTCCCAAGGAGTATACCACTGGCAAAAGCTGACCATTGTTTAATAACTATTGTCCCTCTTTCATAGCAGAGTTTAATATACTGGGGTTTTTTGCAGTAACTACTGCTTTCCATTTAATACATTTTATTGTGGGGTTTTTTTGTTTATTTATTTTTGAGACAGTGCAAGCCAGGGAGTGGCAGAGAGAAGGGGACAGAGGATCCTAAGGGGGCTCTGCGCTGACAGCAGCAAGCCCCATGTGGGGCTCGAACTCACGAACCAAGTTCATGAACCGCGAGATCATGACCTGAGCCAAAGTTGATGCTTAACTGACTGAGCCACCCAGGTGGCCCTCCATTTAATACATTTTAAAAATGTCAGTCTATCCTCACCACAAAAAAATAATAATTATGTGACAGCATGGAGGTGTTAGTGAATGATACAGTAGTAATCATCTTGCAGTATACAAAGGTGTACTACATCTTGTAGTATACAAATCAACACTGTTGTGCACCTTAAACTCGTACAGTATAATATGTCAATTATATCTCAATAAAAATAAATAGTATGTGTGCTGTCGAAGTGAGCACTAAAAATAAGTAAAATAAATAAAAGTCATGATCTATGATTTTTCCCCATAAGAGACAGACTTCAACTGGAAAATATTTTAGGAAAGTCGA